CTTCCTTCCTTCCTTCCTTCCTTCCTTCCTTCCTTCCTCCCTTCCTTTCTTTTTTTCTTCATAAAGCAATTATTTTAAAAAGTAAGCCAAGTTATATATTCTTTGCCTCAACACTCCAGGGGCTTCCTGTCTCATGCAGAATGAAGTCCAAAGTTCTCAGATTGGCTCACAAACCTAACAGGATCTGAGATCCTTCTGCTCTGACCTCATCTCCCCTTACTATGCAATCTAACCACTCTGGCCTACTTGCTTTTCCTCTATTACAAAAATCACAGTCCTTCCTTAGGTTGGCACACCTTGTTTCTTCCATGTGAACTGATCTTCTCCAAGATGTCTATGGGGCTTACTCCCTCATGTAATTCATGTAACATTTTCTTACCAAAGATGTCTCTTCCCTGACTATCCAATTCTGCCATTCTCTGCCCCAATTCATTTCTTTAAATCTTCATACTAATTGTCACTATATAGCTTATTATATATTTATTTGTTTTGTCTGTTTTCCTCCTCTAGAATAAAAGCTCCATGGAGGAAAGAAACTTGTTCTGTTTTGTTTATGACTATATCTTTAGTGTCTACTAGAACAGAGTAGGTTTTCAATAATATATGTTGAATGAATATAAGAATAGATTCGTGTTATTTCATAAATTGTGTCTACATGGAATATTATGTTTTCAGGGCAAAGATAAAATGATGTACCTTTTAATTAAATTAGACAAAATGCGGAAGTAATATATAGTGAAGAAAAAGTGTACAGGCAGTATTAGAATCAAAATAATCACAAACCCTAAGAAACACTGAGCATTTGGAAATGAATAGACCTAGAAAGTTTTAATAAAAATGTACTGTGTGTTACAAATTCTACTTATGAATATACTTCTACTGTTCAATAGTTTTCTCTGAAATGTATTTTATGATTACGTTTAAGATAATGGTAACTTGTTAATAGATTTTTCTCAGGGAAATTAAATATCAGACTTATGAAAAGGACTTTAGAAATGGGTTTTTACTTCCATTACATACATGTGAATTCTGAAGAGCAAGAAGTGACTTATACAACCAAAGTTAAAATATAGTAAAAAGGCAACAATTTCTAAAGTACATTATAAAACCTATGAGGTTCTCCCTCATAGTAGTTAACTTAAAATATTTTTCTATCTGCCAGAACACTCACACTTACATGCAGGTGAAAGGGGCCTTGTTTAAGAAAGAGTTTGGAAAGAGAACAATAGATATCACATAAAAACAGAAATGAGGAATATTAAAGACAAGCAATACCTGCGAGTACTTTTTTTTTTATAATTCTCAAACTGAAAATTTCTTTTCATTTGCCATTCTCTAATTCCTAGCAATGATTAGCAAGAAAGGGGAGATATGTTTGGTTAGAGTTTATGACTAATACTGAAGACGACGGAAAACAATATCAAGACATAAAGCAAGTATTAGTCTGTGTAAAAAAGAAAACTATATTCCTAATTCATTTTATGAAGTCAGTATTTTCTAATATTAAAGCCAGACAAAAATCATCACACACACACACAACCTACAATCAAATATTTATTTTTATTTTTTAAAGATTTTATTTATTCATTTGAGAGAGAGAGACAGAGAGAGACAGAGATAGAGAGAGAGCACAAGCAGGGAAGAGAGGGAGAAGCAGGCACCCTGCAGAGCAGGGAGCCTGATGCAGGACTCGATCCCAGGACCCTGGGATCATGACCTGAGCCAAAGGCAGACATTTAATTGACTGAGCCACCCAGGCACCCTCAAATATTTCATATAAACATAAACAAAGAACTTTAATAAAATATTAGGAAACTGTATCTCCTAACATAAAAAAAAGACTATACTCCATGGCCAAGACCGAGCATGATTTATCTCTGGGATGTAAAACTCGTTTAACTGGAAATTAATTAATATACTATGTTAAAGGAATAAAAGGCAAAACCACATGATAATCTCAAACACACAAAAAGCATTTGAATACACATTCATGATAAAAATTTTCAATAAGCTTAAGAATAGAAGAGAACTTTCTCAACTTGATAAAGAGCATCTACAAAAGACTTGTAGTTAACATCATGCTGAAAGGTAAAAGACTGAATGTCCACCTCTCTCTTAAAATTGTAAACAAGGCAAAGATGTCTAATTTCATCACTTCTATTCAGTATTGCACTGGAGATTCTAGCCAGTGCAGTGAAGCAAGAAAAATAAATGAAAATAATTCAGACAAGAAAATAATAATTAAAACTGACTTTATTCGCAAATGACATGATCCCAAACATGGAATGTCCAAAGAAGTGCACAAAAACTTCTGCAACTAAAAACGATTTCAGCACAGTACCGGGTTAGATGATTGATATACAAAAATCAATTGTATTTGCATATACTAGCAAAAAACAATTCAAAAATGAAATCAAGGTTAATAATTCATTCACAGCAGCATCAAAAAGAGTAAAGAAAATAAGGATACACTTAATAAAAGAACTGTAAGATGTGTACACTAAAAATGAAAAAAACATTGCTGTGAGAAATTAAATAATATGAAATGGAGATATTCTATGCTTATGAATTGGAACACTGAATACTATTAAGATGACAGTTCTCCCCTAATTGATCTATAGATTCACCACAATCCTTATTAGAGCCCTAGCAGGCTATTTTTGCAAAAATGAACAAGCTGATTCTAAAATGTATATGCAAATGCGAAGAAATAAGAATAGCCAAAACAATTTTGAAAAATAAGAGCAAAGCTGGGGGGCCTGGGTGGCTCAGTCAGTTAAGTGTCTGCCTTTGGCTCAGGTGATGATCTTGGGCTCCTGGGATCGAGCCCCACATCAGGCTCCGGGCTCACAGCAGTCTGCTTCCCCCACCCATGCTCACTCCTTCACTCCTTCACTCACTGTCTTTCTCTCAAATAAATAAATAAAAAATCTAAAAAAAAAAGATTAAAAAAAAATAAGAACAAAGTTGAAAGACCTTCACTCCCAATTTTAAAACACAATCAAAAGCAACAGGAATCAAAAGGTATAGTGCTAGCAAACAAAATGTGGTATATCCGTACAATGGAATGGTATTCACTGATAAAAATGAATGTACTACAGATACATGTTATGACTCATGCTATGATACCTAAGGTCATTACAATAAGTGATTCCATTTATATGAAATGTCCAGGAAAGGCAAATCCATGGAGGTGGAAAGTAGATGAATGATTTCCTGTGGCAGAAGACGAGATTGAAAATTGACTAGAAAAAGTAAGAGGTGAGAAGTGTTAGAACTGGATTGTAGTAGGGGTGCCTGGGTGGGTCAGTCAGTTAAGGGTCTGTCTTTGGCTCAGGTAACGATCTCAGGGCTGGGATTAACTCCCACTTTAGGCTCCCTGCTCAGTGGGGAGTCTGCTTCTCCCTCTGCCGACCCCCTGCTCATGCTCACTCTCTCAAATAAATAAAATCTTAAAAAAAAAAAAGAACTGGATTATAGTGATAGTTGAAGAACTATATAATTTTGCTAAAAATAACTGAATTATATACTTACAAAAAAGACAGTAAAGTAGGTGAAATCCCTAAGAGCATATAAGAAGGGAGGTGAAATGGATGCGTGGATAGCCAATAAGAGATGAAAAACCAAGAATGAGGCCCTTGTGTGAATGCCCATGAGATTTGCTAATATTAAACAAAGATTTCAAAATAGCATGTTTTATCATTTTTTCTCTGTGACCCACCATAAGAAACATAATACATGTATTTAGCATATGTAAATCTGTGCATTTAAACAAAGTTTTTATGAAATACTTACCATTACATTGATATTTTATTTTCCATTCATTCTAACCTATCCTAGCCTAGCCTAGCCCATAAATGTTCTTAATTAACTCATTAAACTTATCTTATTAACTCAGTAATACATCCAGACTGACATTTGAAAAACAGCAATCAAGAAGGTAAAACTGATTATTCTAGGATATAAAAATGAAAACAAAACAACTGTCCCCCCCCAAAAAAATGCCCACCACCAACAGAAACCTTATGTAAATCATTATATATTAATTTCATTTGGAGTTTTTGTCACAACTCAATAAAAAAAAGAAGAGAGATTAGTAACATATTGACATAACTGACAGCAAAGTAAGGGATAAACCTATTTTGGACCCCAAGTGAAGAAGTGGAAACATTACCAAAATGGCAACTTTATAAAAAGGATTTATTTATAATAGAACATCAATGTCAAAGTATAATTTTTTAAAAAAGATTTATTTATTTATTTGAGAGAGAGAGAGCGCAAGCACAGCGGGGAGGGGCAGAGGGAGAAGGAGAGAGAATCTTAAGCAGACTCCAAGCTGAGCACAGATCCCAGTGCGGGGCTCCATCTCACAACCCTGAGATCATGACCTGAGCCTAGACCAAGAGTCTGATCCTCGACCGACTGTGCCACCCAGCCACTCCAACATATAATTTCTGAATCATCATGATTAAACTAAGTACCTATGTAAATTTCTGAAAGAAACAATTTAAATGACCTTTAAAGAAACCAAAAAATTAGGTAAAATAAGCAAATACATAAAATCTGTGAATAACCACATTATTAATTTTTTTAAGGATAAACTTTGAACAACATATTTGTTCTATTTCCTCAAAGTAACAATGGAAGTCTTATTTTATTATACATGAAAATATTGTTACTATTTAAACTAATGAGCATGCCTTACATTTATAGATTTATAGACTAGAAAGCTCTGTTACCACAGTGGACCACTGGACCATACCTTTTTGTCCTTATGAATGTACTATAACCCTGTAATCTATAAAGAGTTAACTCAGGCACATTGCTAGCTTAACATTCCCTTTTGACCTACCTGACATCTGTTGAAGCTAAAAATTACAATTGCTATTTTATTCCATATCTATACTTCACAGATTATATCATCTTTTTCAACCAGTATGTTTCTGTTACAGTGATCAATGACTTCAAACTACTTTGCCTGCTTCATTAAAAATATTATATTCTGGAAGTCAGCACTATAATAAATTTAAGGTAATAGTCCTATATTAAAAAATATCATTTAAACCTATATTTTTCAGGATGCCTGGGTGGCTCAGTCATTAAGCATCTGCCTTCGGCTCAGGTCGTGATCCCAAGGGCCTGGAATCGAGTCTTACATCGGGCTCCCTGCTCAGCGGGAAGCCTGCTTCTCCCTCTCCCATTCCCCCTGCTTGTGCTCTCTCTCTCTCTGACAAATAAATAATAAATGAAATCTTTCAAAAAAAAATAAACCTATGTTTTTCATGAAACCAGAATGAATATTAAAAATATCTTTCTGCAAAAAGATTTGTAAGCAAAGCTTCCCTTCCTGCCTCCTAACATCCCAGTAGGGAGTGTTCACGCCCTAGATACTCCTCACACTAGTCAGTGGTATTGCATTACCTGGATGTACTTATGCTCCGCCAGCCCACCAGGTACTTTGATAAGCTTATTGTTGTCCAAGTGAAGCTCCCTCAGATGAGGAGTGTTGGCTAGCGTGCCATTGTCAACAGCAGAGATGCTATTAAAACTCAGTCCCAACCTGCAAAGGAAAGCAGAAATGAATGCGTGCACTGCTCACGGCTGTCCTCCTCACAGGCATTTGTGTGATTTATCCAGTCAACAGTAAAGGACTTTCTTTGTTTTTGCACTTACTGCTCCCTTTGCTTAGAATGCTTTTTCCAACCTTTCTGAGCTTGGATAAAGCCCATTTGTTCTTAAGTTCCCAGCCTAGAGTCACTCTCTTTGAAATTCCTCTGACAGGCATCCCCTAATAAATGTTCCTGTTGTCACCCTCTTAAAAAACTCAAGGGACTATGTACTTGTGTGTATCTCCTAGAGAAAAGTGACTGTCTTGTGGCATACCCAGTATTAACACAGCTTGTTACGATCAATGAATAGCTGTTGAATTGATTTCTCTGTATAATGAATATAATGAATTCACGCCAGGGAAAACTAAAAGGAATACTATTATCATCTTGGTCACTTTGGAAATCAAATAATCATATGTTTATTATATAAATGTATTCACTGGAAATAAAAGGCAGAAGGATCTAATGAATCAATAAACGTCCCTGCCAGGAAGGTTAACAGAATCAGCATCTTGCTTTCCTTTGAGTTTATCAGTGACCATCTGTTACTATCAGAATTTGCCTGGTGCCAACATTCCCAGCTTCTGGCCTTGATCTCTGACCTACGTGTCTCTTTCTTGGCCGCTAGGACATTTCTTATACAATGCCACTCAAAGGTTTGGGTTACATTTTTTAAATTAAATGCATAAAAGGTCAAACTTCTGCAGCTGTGAGGTGTCTTCCTAGTAAATGGGATTCAAAAGGCAGAAGTCGACTTGGAGATAAGGTTAATGTATTTGGCATTCTGGGGATGTATGACTCTCTGGCAAAACCAGGGCGCTGCCAATTCCCAAGGGCAGAGAGAGGATCCCAGGGATGAGACAAGGTAATGGAAGAGAGCCAGAATTCTAGCTCCAAGAGAAAGAGGAAGAGTCTACTGGGCTACTTCAAATGTAGTGGAATAGGCTTAGAAACTTTCTATAGGATGGTTTTTGCCTGCCTTCAGGTAGTTCTCATCTTTGAGCCTTTCTGGGATTTAGATTTTGGTTTATGTAACCAAAGTCTTTCAATTTTAATCATGGCTTGGTATTTCAAATAACTGAGATCACAGTATATTGATTTTAGGCTATTAATAAAACTGTTGGTTTATCTTAGCTATGGATTGTTAACCTGGCATCTTGGCCGAGAACATTTTGTTTTCCCCTCAGTCTTAGATGTTTATCTCTTTTGTTTCTGGTCTTTTCTTTTCTATTATAGAAACATGTCTCCTATTCCTTACAACACTTCAAGTCCCATATCCAATTTTGGGCTAATCCAGTTTTAGAATATGATATTCCTAATAATTGATTCAAAGAAACTTCACTTTTCTGATGATTTATTTATATATTCAATCAATAAATGTTTTTGAGGACCTAGTACATTCGAGATAGTATCCTAGGCTTATGAAGGCGGAGGACACACAGCTCAAAAACCATGATTTTTTCCTCAAAGAATAAAATCCACCTGGTAAGGGAGATGATCGTAGATGTATACATGTGTAACAGAAGGAAAGTTTGCCTGAAAACCATCTCATATTTTTAGAGAGAGGCATATACTATTTTCTTCCCACTTTTTCCTAATAACTAATTGGAATATTTGCCCTGCAACAATGTTCCAAGATCATTTTTTTTCTTCTTTTCACAGTTTTGATGTTCAACACCAAAATACCTCTCATGTTCCAACATCAGTGAAGAGTAAACCACGTGAGGATGTGATGGTTTCATAGACAGATTTTTCTGGACTTGATTCCAAAAGGAAATTTGTTTGATAAATTCAAGAGTCAGAAAAGTTTGCTTGGCCACTTGAGTCAGTCTGTTCCAATTTAGTGAATGGAATTTTTAAAAAATCTCCATACCACTTTCAGTACAAAATGAATTTTTCTTCTAAAAAGGCACAAATATTATTAACAATTTACCATATTTGGAATTAGATTATTGTTCACCTCTACTATTATTACTACAACTACTAGCTGTCCTAAAGACAGTTCTATGCAATATGCAATGTAACTTATCTTCCTACGTTGTTCTGCAGCAAGAGGGACAAAATCACAAAGAAAGGTCAGTGATGCATAATGCTACTTTGAAATATATTTGCTGTATTAGAGACTGTAATTCAAATATCTTTAGATAAATGGTTTCTTATCATTTGAGACACCAGGGTAAGATACTACAGCTAGAATCTCATGGACACGCTCACCTTCAGCCCTCACTATCCACTGGCTCATGGGAAATCTCCACAGAAATGAGAAAAGCTGTATTATACATCATCTGGTCTTAGCTCATTCTCAAGGATAAATGATATATTTTATATTTGTTTATCTACCATAACATTTATAAAGACAAAAGTGGAGTGAATCAATTTGGCATAACACCGTGCTCCTTTGTAAGAACATTCAGTGATGCCGTTCAAGAGCTGAGTGTTTCTTGAAGATAAAGCAAATAGTTTGCAAGCATTCCCCTCCTACATTACTTAACCAGATTGTTAATGTAGGAAGATTAAAGTTAGTCTAGAAAGCAGGAAAGGTATGAATGATTATCTACCAGGAAAAAAAGTTAATCTTCTGGTAAAAAATAAATAAATAAATAACTTCTTTTGTTAGCCTACACTGAATGTCCAGAGACATTTTAAACTCTTCAAAGAACAGAAGCGAGAGAATCGCATCATAATTATTCCCATACTGTAGGGTGGGATGCCCAATATGTCCATGTCTTGGTAACTTCCATTTTAAAGCATTTTCAAATTCTGAACATTGTGTTATAATTTACTTAACCTTCTGTAAATGCTACTAAGTTACAACATATTGAATGAACATACTGATGTAATCGGATACCTTGTACAGAAGATATATCTTAATCTAAAAACAATAGGGTAGATAATTTTCATGGTTCTGGTAAGTACGCGATTTCATTGTATTTTAAAGAAACAATTGGGCCTGTTGAGGTTTGAGGTTGTTAGGACCAACAACAAAAACAGTCAGCAACCACCCATTGTGTTTCTAATACGGAGCTTGCAGGCACTTTTACTGATAAAAGGTCATGAAAGAATATTATTACTTAGCCAAATTATTCAGTCCTTTCAGGCTAGATGCATCAACTTTGGTGATTTTGTTGCCTTCAAGATGTAATTCGGTAAGGGAAGGAGGAAGACCTGAAATAGAGGAAAAAGGAACCTTAAACTAGTAGAGAAATGTAATTACAGGATGTAGACAGACTTAACGAGCACCTAGGCCACCAATTTGCTGAAAGACATAGTTTCAAAGGATTTGCTTTTTATCTTTTCCATCACTTTGCTTTTTATCTTTTTCTTTATCCCTTTCATAATAATAGATACTTCTGGAAGTCGGACAAGCACTTTTTAGTCTCCTAGATGGATTTTAACAGAAACATGGACTGTGTTTATCACATAGTAGATTTTTGTCCTAGTAATTGTTAGGATACAATTGTAGAACTGAGGTCAAACCCTGAATCTCATTAATTTCCTACACCATTGTTACTAAACTAATACTGTTACTGGTAAGAGACCACAACCATAAAATGAAATAAGCATTTGAAATGTAATAAAGACATGATGTATAAGTTAAACCTATATACAAATTTAACGAGGTATTTCAGTAATGAATCTCATTAGTAACTAACACTTGATAAACCGCATTGGCCTTAGTCTTAATCAGTTTTTCCATCTTAAAAAACAAACAAACAAATGAAACAAAACTCAAATGCCTCCACAACATGAATGTGTAGGGAGAGCTAGAGCTTACTTGGACCTTTTAAATCAAGACTGTTTCTTTACACAAGAGGAATGCAGAGGCTTAGAATGAAGTGATCGGCCATATGTAGACCACCTGGGGAAATAATTTTAGATCCAAAGTATCCGTGAAACCTCTGGATAGTACTTCTCGAAGGGCTATGATTTCTAAAAATCTAATAATATTAATATAAAAGTTTAAGTATTCTATTTTCATTTCCTCCTGCCATCTGAGGATATATGATGTTTTTATACAGCTTTTTAAAGAGCATATTGTTCCACTTACAAGAATAGCCACAACTACAAAGAAACGAGCAAATTGGTTACATGTCGAACTAACATCTGCTTAGCAGAGAGTGTTGGTTATTTGTCCATAAGGAACAAAGGTGGAAAATTGCAGGTTATGTTTGGTATGAAAATGTTCACGGCACACCACTGAATTCTGTCAATACCGTCTCTTTCATGTAAAAGTTTAGTCCATATTTGATTTGAACTTATTATTTGTTTCTCAATAGCACTATGTTTTGTGCGGGAGATGCTAGGCTATTCAATGAAAGTCTGTCATGTAGCGAACACTGACACTGGCACTTTTTCTAACTTAGCTCATTTAATTTTTTTAGCTTACAAATTATTTTTTGTGAACCTCCCTTTCATAGACGAAGAAACACAGACTCAAAGTTCCAAACTTGAGAGGTTATCTAGCTGCCAAGTAGGGAATGTAATATGCTCCCAGATGGTCAAAGGGAGTTAAAATAGCATGCTCTTAACTGAAGGAAATGAAATTGAGACAGTATAGGAAAAGCAAGAGGGACTTAACTCCTGTAGAGCCACTGGTCTGAGGCAAAGGTTAAATGTTTCCATACGCTTAGAGACAAATACCTCCTTCTGGGAAAGCGAACAAACAAGATAATAGTAATTAGGAGTAATGGCTGTCTGGGCAAAATTAGACGTAACAATTTAAAGCCTGTTTGCACAAATATTTCTGTTTTCCAGGAGCCCTAAAAGAATGTCAACCGTGGAGAAAGGCATTCTGTGATTGCCTTGTGTCCACTGAGAAGTAATGACCACAAGTTAATGACCATGGGATTGAAGAATGCTTCCCTACTTCTAGTCCCTCACCCTCTGGAAAATTGCCTTTTCCATTCCTTGCACAATACCCCTTCAGAGAGCGACGTTCCTCTTTGCTGTCGGCTCCCTTGTAGGCAAGCTATCTCTAATAAACTCCATCGGCTTTCTTTCTCTTGAGTTCAGTGTTCATTTCTATGACCTGGAGGCCCATGAACCTGGTCTTGGGGTCCGGTAACAAAATCACAACTGCGTCGTTCTTATGACTAAATACCGGGAGACCACAGTTACTCTTGGAATAAGGGATTTCAACCACTCAAATCTCCTTAGAATAAATAAATGTGGATTTTTAAAATACTCCTCCTATGTGTAATTAGCAAGTGAGTATATAACAAAGCAAATTGAATATACATCTTTTCTTTCCTATCACCATGAAAAGATGTTTTTAAAGTAGTGTCTCCAGAACAACAATTATCGTCACATCCATAATCTTAACTAGGTTCTAAGTGTCTTCCCTTCTGCAGTATGTTTGCCAAAAGGAAAGTTATAGTCAGGAGAAAGACTGATGGTGGAAGAAAACTTGGCAATAGGATAGAGAGAGGCAAATTTATCAAGAATACCATTAACCTTTGCCACTGTAGCATTTAACTAAGAACCTATACTCTAGTTACTTTTTTTTTTCTTTTCCCTTTCCATATTTAAGGTAAATGTATTGAGAGCTTACTTTGGGCCAGATACTATGTATGCACATTACACGTCTTATTTGTGTCTATTAATCCTCACAAATACCTTAGAAGATAGATGTCATTAAGACCTCCATTTCATAGAGAGCAAAACTGAGATTTTGGAGATGTGCAATAATTAGCCTAAAGTCACAGAACAACTAAGTGGCTGAATCAGACCTTTCACCCACATGGTCCACGTGAAGAATTCATAACTCTCCACTTCACTCCACTGCCTTGTGTTTCCATCACTGATGGTAGACAGTGTGTGGCCACTAAGACTCCCGGAGGATGGCGATGTTCAGGCATATGGGTCAAGCCTAGGAAAGGCAGACTCATCTATTTTATCGGCATAAATATGCACAGGAGGGAGGACTTAAGTTGGCAGTAGGGTACGCTGGTCATGCACATGAACTCGCATCAGCACAGCACAGCCCCGGCTTGGCCACCTCCTAGCCCCAGGACCTTGGGCACAATGTACTTCGTGTCTTTAAGCTTCGTTTTCCTCGTTTATTAAACAGGTATGACAATAGTACTATAGAGGAATGGTTTGAGATTCATAGAGCAGAATCCATAAAAGGCATTTGGCACAATACCTGGTATTAAGAAGTGCTTAAGAAAACTTGATTACTCTAATTTTTATAGTAAGTGTTTAATACAACAAAGTAAGCTAGAGATGGTGAGAAAACAGCACCTACGGTAGGGAGGAGACATAGGGAATACAGGTCACTAAGTGATGAAATGTGCTCCCAAAGCGTATTTTGGAGGATGCATTAAGAAGGAGAGCAAAATCAAAGATTATGTTTAACATAGGTCATCTGGCAGCATGAAGTAGTGGAAAAGACCTGGACTTTAAATTCCAGCTTTTTTACTTCACCTCCTACAGCTCTATAGCTTTGGGCAAGATGTATGTGTATACATAATATATAAAAATGTAATTAAATATAATTTAAATTTTAAAATATTATTAAAATATAAAATATATTAAAAATATAAATATATGCATATATACAACTGCCCTGGGGATAAAACAAAAACAAAAACAAAACCCACTTGTTACAATGCAACAAGTTGGAGGACCAACATGAAGGTGCTTTATAAACTGTAGATCAATCTCTATCTATCTATCTGTCTATCTATCATCTATCCATCAATTTTATCTATACCAGCAGTTGCTATTTTGGGCATAAAAACATCTTTTGTAGCAAAAAGACTGGGGAGAGGGCAAGGGGTGGTAAGAAACCATTCTATGGAATATATCTTTTTGGGAGCTGAAGTTTCTGTGGAAGCACAGTGAAGGGTAATTGTTTTCTGTGGGCAAGAACCTACATTTTGAACCCCGACCAAGAACAAGGTATCTAAGCGGAGAAAGGGCCAAATAGAGGGGAAAATTTGAGACTATAGAAGGGCTTTTGTGAGACTAAAACCCTGGGGCAGGGAAAATGTGAATTAGAGGAATTGCTTTTTTGGGGATTTGATTTCTTTTCTGATTCACAAAGAATGGCTTCTGTGTCTCTTCCGGGTAAGCCTTAGCCCAAGGCTGTGTGATGACTGCTCTTTACCTGCCTGGCTTTGCTCCCGGCAATAAGCTCCTTGAAGGCAGATAGTATACCCTATTTACTGTCCTGTCTCCAGTGTTTGGCACTTTGCCTAAGCAAAATGAGTGTCAAAATATTTTTAAGAAATAATAAATGGTAATAATAATCCATTACTTATTTGCATACCAGATACTTCTTTAATTAGTTATTTAATTTTAAGACAAACTAATGAGTTGTATATCAGTGTTATTGCCATTTTACAAGTAAAGAAATTGAGGTATAAATATTGAATAACTTGTCCAAGGCCTTAGAGCCAATTAGGGACAAACTGAACTCAAGCATACCGACCCAAATCCATACTCTTTACGACATACAACCGCCACTCTCATACAAGAGCATGGCCACTGTGGATGTTCTTATTCAGATAATAATGCCTGAGATGTCCTAAGATGGAAAGGAATTCGCTAAAAGATTGGAGACTCAAAGTAAAAATTGACTCAATTTCAAAGTACTTCATGTATCTTTTTTTAATGCCACTAAGGCATTCTATTTTTTAAATAACTGTACTTTTTCCTTTGTGGCATCACAATCCATTTTTTATCCCCCAATTCTTTAATATGAAATCATTGTGGGTTAAGTTGTATCTTAGAAGAGACTTTATAGGTAGAAGGGTCTAGCCATCCCTACCATGGGCCTGGATGCCCCAGGGGTCATCCAGGCTCAACAAAAACACTTCCGAGGGTAAACAATTTACCAGAAATAACGTTGACTACTTCAGTCACCATTTAAATTTCCAAAACAATTTTTTTAAATGTTAAAATTTTAAGATTTAGGTGTTCAAACTGCTTTGGAGAGTTTTCTATCACCTTGAGGGATGGTGGTTATATTGGTGTCCGCAATGCGGATATAGGAGAGCTTCTTCATTCCCTGGAAGGCTCCATTTTCAATTCCTGAGCTCTTCAGTGGGTTGGTGCCCAGTTCTACAAATGCAATAAGTGCAAAGCGTTAGCGGACAATATTAGGTATTGCAAATCAGAGTAGCATCTGTTTCAACAAGGATTTTAAGATTAATTTGGGTCGATAAAAACTTGACTGAGAAACAAAAGAGAAATTAAAGGACACACTCTTCAAAGGGATAGCAAACTGAGGTAAATTTTTCTCTTTTTAAAACAAACAACAAATACAAGAAAACACAAAGATTTATGGAAAAAGCAATAGTGGCGAAAACAATAACAAGAAGATTATTTAAAGTGCATACACAGGTTTGCACAGAAATCAACAAAAACAGGTGTTAATAAGTCACACTTATTATGGGGCTTTTACTTTTCTGAGATGAATTAAAATGTTAAATAATTTGAAATTAGCACCTTGTAAGCCAATTATAAAATCACCCTTTTTTTTTTTTACCACACAAAACATTAGAACACATTGTTTAAAGCAAATGATTTATAGATATTCAGAATAGAAACAATTCCCCTGATGGAAAGGTATCCCCACATAGCTCTAATTAATCACTACTTAATTCCATCCCACATCTTGGGCATGCAGTAGAGTGACTTTGGTCCTAGAGTTTTCTCCACATTCTCAGATCCTCGAGGACGGGAAATAAAAAATTATAAGGCACGATTCAAAATCTCATTTCTGCCAATCTTGCTACTGTTAACTCCCACAGGCTAAAGACATGTAAGCTCTAGCTAATTTACCTTCCTACGGCTATAGCTTACTTGGAATCTTCTAAGGTGGACCTTCAATCCTGGCCTTAGAGTTATAAGAATATCTGTACCTATGACGATCATCTGGTTCAGTCCGTTGAACACAGCTTTTCGCACTTTGGTGATCTCATTCTCATGGGCACGCAGCTCCTGAAGAGTTTTGGGCATTTTTTCTGGCAATTCCTTCAGATGATTCTTGGACAGATAAAGTCGTTCCAATTTCAACAGAGGTGTGAATGCTCCAGGGCTGATTTTGCTAATTTTGTTGTTGACAAGAATCAACGTCTGTAGATAGTGAACAAAAACAGCACCTTAATTCCAAAACACACATTCTCTCTCTCAATATATATATGTATATATATTGCAAAAAATCAGAAAAAAATCAAATATTATATATATCTCAAGAAACCAGAAGAAATTAGGCAAATATGATTCTTTCACTTAAGAAGTGTATGAGGATCTGAACATCAGGAACATCAGGAATAAAGGTGATGAACTATAGATTATAGATTATAATATAAATACATAGACACTTAATTTTTAAACAGTAAATACTCCTAAAGATTGAAATTACCAGAGTGACCTGAGATACCTGAAAAGAATCCAGTGCCACAGGCAACCATCCCCCAGCCTAAAATCCATCCTCATTGACTGCTGCCATGGATTCTACTACAAAATGGTGGCACCAATTTATACTACCACCAACAATGCAAGAGAGTAAAATTTTCTTGCTTTCTTGCAGCCTTATAAATTGAGATATATTTTTTTCAAAAAGTTTGTCAAATTAGTACAACATGTTGTAGCTCATTGTAATTTTTTTGCATTTCTTTGTCACTTGAAAGGTTAAATTAATTTCCTTTCATTCTGCTACTATTTACTGTTATTTTTGGAGAGAAAGGATTACCTGATTACAATACTTCTCATTTTATTAAATTTTAATATATTTTAATAATTGGTTTACAGAAAATAAAGATGTAGTTAATATGAAATGCAGAGCCTTAATATATTTTTCTTCTTTTTTGTCCTTTTTACATACAGTTTTATGTAGCTAAATATGCTAATATTTTTAGTAATTCTTAAATTTTTGTTTCTGCATTCTTCTAATATAGAAAATTACTTCTCATTCATTACTGGTATACATATAGCTATTGCTAAACTTATTTTTGGACACCTCATTCTCTTCCAATGATATGTATGTCTATAGAACCATACTTCTTATTATTCTAAGCTTTCTTATCAATTAATCCTAAGGAATTCAGGATCATTTGTTCAAGGTCTAAGAAACCTCTTTTTCAACTGTAGTGCACTTATGTGCATATATGAAAAGGCACAGGGACAAAAAATAAAAAAATGAGAACTTCCAGTGTCAGAAATGCAGGAATACTTTCTGAAGGTAACAGCTGGTTAGTTAACCCATGTATATACTCATGTAGTTCACATTATTTGACTAACTAAAACTTCTTATAAGTAACAATCTTTCAACTAATTCTAAAAGATGATGGGTTGATTAAAACAAAATCCCAGGAAATTCCAATGAATATTACAGAAAATTAAAAATCTCATGAGGGTTAAAGTCATAGGAAATTAATATTAATGAACAAAATGTCCAGGAAATTAGTAAAAGCTAATGATGACACGTGTCATTGAAAGACACCCAAAATGCCAGAAGCTTAATTATGAAGAAAAAGGAGATCTTCTATGGCCATCTATGAAAGAAAACTCTGAAAGCTTGATATCATTAAATGCATTTAACAAGGTCTGAAAAATCTGCTTATTTTATGTTAAATATGAAACCTATTATGAAGAATCAGCCATTTCAGCTAATAAAATATTGCTTTTTTTTTCTTTTTTACTAGAAAATAACTAGATGATGCCTCTACCTGTGAGCATGCCATAGTAGTATCTGCTGTTAAGTTTTGGGGGTAGTATGACACTTGCTCCAATTATTTCTTCAGTATAGTGGGAATAATAATAGCACCTACAGAGGGTACATGATAATGTATATAGACTTCTTTGCAAAGCGCCTTTCAAAAGCATTGCTGGTTGAAAATTTTAGTCCAATGGAAAACGTTCCTGCTTTCAAATTAAAATACATTTGAAACAAATAAACTATGCAAATTTTAGTCATAACGAGGTAAAATCTTAAGAGCTATATGGATTAGAACTTCACAGAAACACAGGTGAGGCAGCTCTTTCTGCCCCCTCCTGTCCCCCTGCTGTCATAAAACCACCTTAAAAAAAATCCACAGTGAACATTCTTTCCTGCTTTGTCAAAGATGAGTTGACCATAGAGTTGAGGGTCCATTTCTGGGCTCTCTATTCTGTTCCATTGATCTATGTGTCTGTTTTTGTGCCAGTACCATACTGTATTGATGATGACAACTTTGTAATAGAGCTGGAAGTCCGGAATTGTGATGCTGCCAGCTTTGCTTTTCTTTTTCAACATTCCTCTGGCTATTCGGGGTCTTTTCTGATTCCATACAAATTTTAGGATTATTTGTTCCATTTCTTTGAAAAAAGTGGATGGTATTTTGATGGGGATTGCATTGAATGTGTAGATTGCTCTAGGTAGCATTGACATCTTCACAATGTTTGTTCTTGCAATCCATGAGGGTTGCTGGAGTGGTGGGGGGTGGGAGGGATGGGGTGGCTGGGTGATAGACATTGGGGAGGGTATGTGCTATGGTGAGTGCTGTGAATTGTGCAAGACTGTTGAATCACAGATCTGTACCTCTGAAACAAATAATGTAATATATGTTAAGAAAAAAAAAAAGAAGATAGCAAGAGGGGAAGAATGAAGGGGAGTAAATCGGAGGGGGAGATGAACCATGAGAGACAATGTACCCTGAAAAACAAACTGAGGGTTCTAGAGGGGAGGGGGGTGGGGGGATGTGTTAGCCTTGTGATGGGTATTAAAAAGGGCACATTCTGTGTGGAGCACTGGATGTCATGCACAAACAATGACTCATGGAACACCACATTAAAAACTAATGATGTCATGTATGGTGATTAACATAACAATAAAAAATTTAAAGAAGGAAAAAAATCCACAGTGAAAAAAAGTAATTTGTGTATATACAGTATTGCTTTTTAAAGATGGTTGATGTTAGTTCCATACACTGATATGTATTAAAGAAAGCACACTTCGAATTTTAACAGGCCATGACAAGATGTTGAGATGGGACAAACAAAAACAAAAACAAAAAACTAATTCCTCTGGCTAATGCCAAAGGGCAGCTAAACCAAAGAAAGAGTCAAAGGTGAACTCCAGGCGTTCTTCAGGAGATCAGCTGATGAAAAGGAGAAAGCTCTTCCTGTAAGCAACCCAAGGGGATCTCTGAAAATGGTTCGCTATTCACTTGACCCAGAAAATCCTACAAAATCATGCAAATCAAGCCGTTCAAATCTTTGTGTTCACTTTCAGAACACACATGAAACTGCCCAAGCCATTAAGGGTATGCATATCGGAAAAGCCACCAAGTATCTGAAGGATGTCACTTTGCAGAAGCCACGTGTGCCATTCCGTCCCTACAATGGTGGAGTTGTTAGGTGTCCCCGGGGCCAAACAGTCAGGCTGGACACAGGTGGCCCCAAAAGAGTGCTGAATTCTTACTGCCCATGCTTAAAAATGCAGAGTCATGCAGAACTTAAGAGTTTAGATGTAGATTCTCTGGCCATTGAGCACATGCCGGTGAACAAAGCTACCAAGATGCAGGGTTGAATTGACAGGGCTCATGGCCAATGAACCCCTCCCTACGGGAGCTCTCCCTACTGCACTGAGACAATCCTTGTTGAAAAAGCAGATTGGTCTTAAACCAGAAGAAGAGGTTGCACAGAGGAAAAAGATATCCCAGAAGAAACTGAAGAAACAAAACTTTATGGCCTGGGAGTAAATTCTGCCAAAATAAATGCACATAAAAGTAAAAATAGAAAAAAAGAAAAGAAAAGGTAAAAGACAAGCAGAATCGGTTTATCATGACTTTGCCAAGAGGTGAGAGAAGTCAGAGGAGTAGAGAACTTGTTGCTTGGGGGCAGGAAATGCCTTGAGCTCCACTTAAAATAAAATTGAAGCACAGCCTCAAAAATCAGCCCTACCTACTTCTTTGGTAACTAAAGAAAAAGGGATCTAGCCTGAGAGGCAGTGGAGAGGTGATGAAAAAGGCAACTGGCAATGGAAATGGAAAGGAAGTAGGAATAAAAACATTTTCACCACCTTCATCCAAGAAGGTGATCAAAAGGAACAAACTTCCCATTGTAAGGTAACGTACAACATGATGACCACAGCCAGCTCTGAGGCTGGTATATTTGAAGGCTGCTGAGAGAGTCAGCCCTAAAAGTTCTCCTCCCAAGGAAAAATACATTTTTTTCTTTTCATATATATATATATGTAGGAGATTATGGATGTTAACTAAACTTACAGTGGTGATCATTTTGCAATATACAAAGTCATTATGCTGTACATCTTAAACTTACACAGTGCCGTGTGGCAATTACATTTCAATAAAATTGGAAGGAAAATTTGTTGAAACCTGACTTAATATTATGTACAGTTTTCTCCAAAGCCATGTAGGGTTTACACTGTATCAGGTATTGTTTTAAGGGGTGGTATGGTTACTATCATATTTATATGCAATTAATGGACTCAATTCACAAGGCTCCTCAGTTTTGATCTCAAGATTTGGCTCTTATTTGCTGCGTGACTATGAACAAGTAACTATAAACAAGTAACCTCTCTGTACCTGAGTGTCCTCTTCTGTATAAAGGGGTTATCAAGAGTGTCTACCTCAAAAGAATGGTTCTAAGAATTAAATAAGTGAATGTATATAGGTATTAAGCCTAGCATATAGTAATTGCTACACAAGTGTTTGCTATTATTAAATCTTTGACAATATTTTATTTTTAGGTAACAAAAAAACCTTCCTGACTAGATTTTTTAAGCATGAATTCAAAGGAAAGACATTAAATGTTGGCATTTTAATACTTAATTTTCCATTATTTCATGGGATAATTGTGTTTTTCTGTTACATATAAGTATAAAACTACTCTTGCACAGCATGTACTACATTATGAGACACACAGTCTAAATTGATAAAATTATTGAGAAAAGAGGAAACTTTCTGTTAAATCCTTTCTATTTTAATCTTTGCTAAAGTTTCATTTCTCATCCTCTTTTTCATTCAAGTGTGGCTTTCCTGGTGAAATTATAATGTTTATTTGCATAATAACAAGGATAGAAACGATCATGAATGAAAGAGTAAGAGAAAAATAGCTGTTTAACATCCTCTGAACAATTGGAAGCTCTAATAAACTCTTCCTCTCTTCAATGTATACTTTGAAGTAGAAAGAAAGAGATTGCCAAGATGGGAGTTGCCTAAAACATACTGAGAAGGAAACATGGAAAAGAAAGAACATATTATTACAAATGCCAGATTTAATGAGAGTGTCACAGAAACCAGATATCTCTTATTTAAGTCTATGAGGAGTTTAAATAAACTATTCAGATTATATTTAAACATACAGAAAGTTGGGATTAGAGTAAAAGAATTTTCCTTCCTTAAAAAAATAGCTTTACAAAATAAGTCAGAGAAAGACAAGTATCATATGATCTCACTGATATGAGGAATTTAAGAAACAAGACAGAAGAGCATAGGGGAAGAGAGGAAAAAATGAAACAAGATGAAACCAGAGAGGGAGACAAACCATGAGACTCTTAATCTCAGGAAACAAACTGAGGGTTGCTGGAGTGGTGGGGGGTGGGAGGGATGGGGTGGCTGGGTGATGGACATGGGGGAGGGTATGTGCCATGGTGAGTGCTGTGAATTGCATAAGACTGATGAATCACAGACCTGTAACCCTGAAATAAATAATACATCAATATGTTAAAAAAAAAAAAAAGAAGAAGATAGTAGGAAGGGAAAAATGAAGGGGGGAAAATAGAGGGGAGGACGAACCATTAGAGACTATGGGCTCTGAGAGACAAACTGAGGGTTCTAAAGGGGAGGGGGGTCGGGGGTTGGGTTAGCCTGGTGATGGGTATTAAAGAGGGCATGTGTATTGAATGGAGCACTGGGTGTTATACGCAAACAATGAATCATGGAACACTACATCAAAAACTAATGATGTGATGTATGGTGACTAACATAATAAGATAAAATTAAAAAACAGAAGAAAAAATAGCTTTAGGGTAAACTTATAAAAAATGAAATGAAGTTTTAAATTTTAGTTCATTGAAAATAATAATCTTTCTTAATTAATATTTTACCATATCCAATCATAGTTTAAATAGTCATTGACAAACCTTGTTGGTATCACCATTGGCTCACTCCCAGTGAAAACATACTGAGAAGGCAGAGAAAAGGTGAGTTGGGGCTCAGGCCTGGCATCCTATCAGTGGAGATGGATCCCATTGGTTCAAGATTTGAGATCTCTAGCTCAAGCCTTTTCCTCACTTTTTCCAGCCCATGTCTTTCACTCTAGCCAATTCCCATATCTGCTTATTTTCTTCTGCCTGTCCTTTCATTTTGTAGAGAAAACACTCTTTTCTTCTCTTCCTTTCAAAATTCTGCTAATCCTCTAAGACCCTTTGTCCCATATTCTCTCAAATACTAACTGGTAACTTGATGTAGGATATGTCTGACTTGTCTCTTTCTTGGTGCCCATAGCATTCACTACTTACATCACACTGGGCTTCTATTGTTGGACACTTCAATAAATTTTATTTGCTGCTTTTGTTTATATTAATTGTTCCATAGAGAATCTTAAAATCTTAAGGAAAAATCTTTGCAACCTTCTAAAAATACGGTACATTTTCTCCTAATGGGTGTTTATTGCTTTCCTCATCCTAGCTGTCAGAAAGTTGACAACTAAATCTTGTCCTGATTATATTAACTCTATAACATATGATCACCAGTTTATTTTATATTACATTATTTCCCTTGAATCTATATTTCTTATTCTAATACATAGCAGCCAGATGAACTATTTTTATATTTATATGTATTGCCAATTCTTACTATATATCCCTTCAATTATTTTCTATAATGGCAACAAGAACTAAATGGATGTGAAATTAGAGTATTTTCTATAATGGCTACAAGAACTAAATGGATGTGAAATTAGTATGCTCCCAACCTTAAAAAGGTATTTCTATGATATTCATCATAAATATGATATTCATCAAATTTACAGAAGCTGTAAATTTATCTCTACATACAAGTCACTCATAACTAAGCAATTCTCTCCATTGTTTTCTGAAAATTCTAATGCTATACATTGTTATTTTTAATGTTGAGCAAAACTCTGCTTCCCTAAAATTTCCACTCAATTGTCAAGAGGACAATTCTGTCATCTTGTAGTTGAAGTAAGTTAATTCAATTTCTCTTTTCCAGCATGGCCCTTCAAATATGTCACTCATGACCTTTTTCACTCAATTTGGGCATCCACATCTCTGTCAATTGTGCCTATAAGACATGATTTCCAAATTCTTTATCCTCATGATGATCATTCTGAGGATACTCAAAAGTTAATGCCCTTCTTAAAATGTCTTGCCCAGGACCAGACTTAATGCGTCAAGAGGGGTCTACCAGAGTAGAATACAGAGACAGTGAGACTTGTAGGATTTATTTTTGACATTGAAGGCTGGCTTATTTATACTAAATGTGCAATGACATCCTGAGGGGAAACTGCATTCTATTTACCTCACAAGTAGAGAGCTGGACTAGAGAATAGAGTTTATAGGGATTCTGATGCCCTACCTGAAAAGACAATACATTTACTCTTACAGAAGTCTGCCTTAGCAAAGCCAAACCCTATTTAATTGGGTTGGTCATCTTCCATTTATAATACACCCTCTCCCAACTATAGTTCTACTCATTCTTTGTTCTACGTGATCTTCCTCTATGTTCTGGGAAGATAAACTCTGGGGACTGCTTCACCCAGATGACCTTGATCCCCGGCCCCCAGTGAGGTTCAATCATAGGAGACGCTGACAGGAAATAAGGAGGTAGGACTATAGCTCCCCACCTGTTTCAAGGTGGGCTTGGGTGTTTCATAATGCTTTGTTGGTTCCTATATCCCTCTGTAAATCATCCCTTCAGTAAAGCCTTCTCTGTGAACACTTTTGTGAGTGTCAACCAATTTTCTGCTGGAATCCTGTCTGGTAGACTGGATGTGGTGTGACATCATAATAGAGTGGAGGTAAGTAAAAACCACAATCAAAGCACACAGACTAGAATGCAGCATGCATTGTCCTAAATACAAAGCTAATGCAGCATGCATTGTCCTAATACAAATACAAATACATATCTATATAGATATGAAGATAGAATCACATACTAAGTAAAATATGGATGGTTATCCCTTTTGCTCTTGATGCTAACCTTTGGGCCTTTATAACACTGGCACCTCTTAGAAAACTAAAGAAAGAAGACAAAAGAAATAAAATACTACTAAGATCAGTAACCCATTTTGTATTCTGTTCCAATATTGAAGTACAATCTAACTAGGAAGATAAAGACTTTTATTCATGAAGTGTAAGAGAAGATTAAGATATAAAGTACTTTTTAGGATGGAAAGACCAAAGATATATGAGGTATATGTAAGAAAATTGGCTGATTTTTTAGGGATTAATGAGTATGATGTTTTGCTCCCCTCTTACCTCCTAAATAAAGAATTTAATAAATTCTTCTGTGCTTATTTATTACCATATAGTATACTCCTGGCCTTACCTAAGTTTTGTTTTGAAAAATCCTGTGTCAGATCTTGTTACAACTCAAAAACAAACAAACAAACAAAGAACTCTTACATGAAGGTTCTTCAGGTTCTTGAAGTCCCCATCTTTGATTTCGGTTATTTTGTTGTTTTGCAAGTCCAGCAGCGTAGTGTCAGGGGGAAGATCTTTTGGCACTTTTTCCAGACCTTGCGTGAGAGTAAAAGCAATGTGCAGTCAGTAAAAGGGGCACAGGACCACAGAATCACAAAGGATGTGTTCACAAAAAATCAGTGTTGCAATGAAAGTTTTACCACTACCATATTTTTTCTTCTTCCAGGAATTATATCAATTGTAGTTTAAAATATCTGCTTTATCCTTTCCAAAGAAGTCAAATGTTATATATATTTTTAAAATTATACACTGACTACATTATTTTCCCCATGTAATTACTTTTCTGTGTAAAACTAAAATTTATATTTTGTAAGGGAGTGGCTCAAGTTTCTCAGGGCACATTAGGGTTTTACCTCATTGTTCTTGTTTTAGAAAATAATTCCTTTGATAAGAATTAAGTGCAAGTGATTTCTAAATCTATACCATTCTACATAAATATACCATTTAGGAGAGAATAGCTTTAGCCAAATCATCAAAGGCCTGTTTGACCTAACCCAACATTGCCACAGATTACATTTAAAATGACTCTCTCTCTTCCATTGGCTTTGTTTCATATTGATGTAGGATGTTAAGTAGAAATTTGATATTCTATTGACTCAAATTCATGTGATCTTTTCTGTATTTGAGATTGCATAACATAAATCAGAAAGGTTTTTCAACCTCTCCATCGTACCTGAAACTTGAATTCTTTCATTTTCATTCAACAAAGCCTTATGGAATACCTCCTAGACACCATCAATTTATCAGGCCCTGGGAATAGAGCAGGACAAAGACAGAAATTGCCCGCATCCCCGTAGAAAATATAATTCAATATATAGTTTTCAATTAAAAAGAAAATGCAACAGGTAATATAATTGCTATGTTGGGAAGATGTCTTTCCAATTTTGAACCTTATGTAAGCATATACTGTTAAATTATCATGGTACTTATCATGCTATCTTCCTGTCTTGCATGAAAATTATAGAAAGTGTATCTGAGATCACCTACCTCCTAAGTTCTCTGCAAATACATTTTTACTCACATGGCTCTGTTGATAGTGGGAAAAAAATAATATCTAGTACCCAATTCAGAGATCAACTATTATTATAAATTTAAATATCAAAATACATGTGATTCTAAACATACATAAGTATATTCCAGTAACTTACTACAGAAACAGTTCACAGGGAAATGACAAGACTGAAGTGTTTTTAGTGATAAACAGCTATCTTGTAGGAGGATATTTAACTGCATTATGTAGTCACGATTGCTGCCATTTTCAGAAATGTCAGTTTGATAATTTCATGCAATTAGGAGTGGTAGACGTCTGCCAAATCTTTGATAATTAGTGTTCTCCAACCAAGAAAAGACACATTTCCTTTCATTTGGAAAAAAGTTAACTGCCTACATTTCATTATTACTCCATGGGATTTTTGTCAAAGTTTTAATTTCCACTTATGCTTACATTCTTACATTACTGAACTTAAATCCTAGCAACTCTCTTAACATTTGTTCAGAGCCAAAGTGCAGATAAATTTCATATGTGGAGAGGAAAAAAATGATATATCTACTTGGCTAACAATTTTGATTATGTTGTCTTCCTAGAATTTTAGGAATTTCTTGAGTTGAATTGTATACATTATTTTTTCTGAAGATTTGGCATGAAAATATCTTTAAGCTTGTGATCTTTGCATTTTAGTGCTTAGAAAGTCATTTTAATGATTAAAATCATAACCCTACCATCTTCTCTGCATTACTAGTAAATTTACATCCATTTCAGGGAGTTTACATATTAGATTTTTTATTAAAACTTTATATTTATTCTGACATCAGATGCAATAACATACTGTTACATTTAAGGTCTAGCCAGGGGCACTGGGGTGTCAACTAGCTTTCTCAACAACTATGGACAGAGTATAACAGGGACATATCCTGGTTATGAGTTCTTCGAATGTCACAAAGGAAGGACTATTAAGTAACAGTTAGTCTATGATTCCAAAACGCTGATCAGATAGACTCTATGATGAGGTTCTTATCAGTCTTTACCAAAATTAGAAAAAAAAAATGAGTGCAATTAAGTTAGTTTTAATATAAATTACACATACACACATATTCACATACATGAATACACACATTTCTGAAACTAGCTTCTGCTTCTGTTCTAAATATACCTTCTTAAAAACAATTATAATAAGCAGATGGCAGGTTGTTGTCATTTTGTTGAATTTGGTTTTGACCTTGTAAGAAAATTGACTTGTTCAATATTCAATTTCACTTGTCCCAGAAATTAAAGAACTTCTAAACTAGTCCAATACTCCCTTTTATAGGTAAAGAAACAGAAATCAAATGAAATTATATGACTTATCTAAGGTGTCTCATGTTTAAACTAAACCAAAAACAAGATGGTATGAGACCTCACTCTAGAACTATCCAATATGCCATATATACATGTAAACACTGTGTGTATTTTTTTAAAGATGCTGATCTATACTCTTCCTTGAACATACTGTGCTTATTCTTAATTATTTGTTTTTGTTCTTATAATTTCTGTTTTATGGAATATTCCATCCACTCATGTCCTTCTAGCTTCATTCCAACAACCCCTAAAAATGTTCCAACAACCCCTTTACCCCCTCCTCTAAAATATTCATCCTAACCACACCAGATAACAGTGACACCCCCCCAACTCCTGTTTGTATATAAGCTCATGAGGTATTGTCCTGCACTTTAGTTTTCTTTCTTTTCTGTAAGTTCTGGAAAAGCAGGGACAAATGACTATATTTCACGAGAGCTGTGATCTTACCGCTTTACACATAAAGGCAGGTTTTTGATTGATTCGTTTTAAAAGCATAGTCTGTTCTGCTGTCCCATGGTGAAAAGTTCATGGTCATGGCTTCAAGATCTTTTCTGCTATGTTCTGTTATAATCATTTCTTCACATCCTGCTTTCATAATGGTTCTAACTTTACCTCGGAAGTACTAGAATATAAGTGGCTATAATAATCACAATTTTCTCTCTGATTCTTGGCTGGCCAGAAACATTTTAGGAATGAATGCTACCATCAAATATGTCATCCCCATTACCTGCATCTGAAAATTTCTTTCAATTTCTTCTGTGTCTTTGACATATTTGTGAGGAACTTTTGGCTACATGTGTCTGAAGGATACTATCCTTCCTGTCCCCCATGGTAACTGATCCAATGGTACAGTTTCTCACTATGACATATATTTTCAATTATAAACCCTTGGATGGAGAAACAGACCTTCATTTACAGATAAGTACTGCCAAAAACAATCAAGCAAATAATGAATATTGAATCTGATTAAGCCTCTAGATGTAACTCCCACTTTAGAAGAAATAGTCCAAAGTACATGCTTAAGTCTGCTAAAGAAATGGGTTCAACAATGCTAATTTAAAAATGGGCAGAATATATTAGACAGACATTTCTCCAAAGAAGACATCCGATGACCAACAGATATATGAAAAGATTCCTAACGTCACTCATCATCAAGTAAATGCAAATCAAAACCATGGGATATCAACTCACCACCCGTCAAAATCAACAACACAAGAAACAACAGGCATTGGTGAGGATGTGGAGAATAAAGAACTTTCCTGCCTTGTTGGTGGGAATACAAACTGGCACAGCCAATGTGGAAGACAGGCTGGAGGTTCCTCAAACAATTAAAAATAGAACTACCTTATGATCCAACAATCACACTACTGGGTATTTACCCAAAGAATACAAGAACACAAATTCAAAGGGATACACCCACCCCCATGTTTATAGCCGCAACATTTACAATTGCCAAGCTATGGGAGTGTCCACCGATTAGTGAATGGATAAAGAAGATGTGATATAGATACAATGGAATATTATAGCCATCAAAAAGAATGAAATCTTGCCATTAGAAATGAAATGGATGGAGCTAGAGAGTGTAATGCTAAGTGAAATAAGTCAGTCAGAGAAAGACAAATACATGATTTCACTCTTATGTGGAATTTAAGAAACAGACAAGTAAAAGGGAAAAAAAAGGAGAGAGAGACAAATAAAAAAACAAACTCTTTTTTTAAGAAATTAATTAATTAATTAAGGATGAAGAAGAGGAACCAGTCCTGCTGTTCCCCAAAAATTAATTAATTAACTTTTAAAAGATTTTATTTATTTGAGAGAGAGGGTGAGAGAGAGAGTGCACAAGAGGGGTAGGGTCAGTGGGAGGAGCAGACTCCCCACTGAGCAGAGAACCTGATGCAGGACGCCCGCATCACGACCTGAGCCGAGGGCAGTGGCTTAACCAACTGAGCCACTCAGGCGCCCCCCAAAAAACAAGCTCTTAATTACAGAAAATAAACTGATGGTTACCAGAAGGGGAGAGGATGGGGGAATGGGTGAAATAGGAGATGGGGATTAAGGAGCGCACTTCTTTTGATGAGCACAGTGTATGGAAATGTTGAATTACTGTATTGTTCATCTGAAGCTAATATAACTTTGCATAGTAACAAACTGGAATTAAAATAAAAACTTAAAAAAAAGAAATCAATTCAACAGAATCCCAATTTCTTCAACAGATAAACTATAAGGAAAAGTAAAAAAATATTAGTTTTCCCCATGTATAGTTTAAAAGAGACTTAAAAGCTATCTATTTATTTATTTATTTATTTATTTATTTATTTATTTATTTTGAGAAAGTGAGAATGAGTGAGAGAGAGAGAGCACTTGAGAGGGAAGAGGGTCAGAGGGAGAAGCAGACTCCCCGCTGAGCAGGGAGCCCGACGTGGGACTCGATCCGGGGACTCCAGGATCATGACCTGAGCCGAAGGCAGTCGCTTAACCAACTGAGCCACCCAGGTGCCCAAAAGCTATTTAAATGATCGCAATATATGTACTTCGTTTGGATCCTAATTAGCACAAACTGTAAAACAAAGCGTTTCTAATATTTGTGAGATGATTGAAAATGGGCACACTGAATGACTATTTGATGATATTAAGAAATAATATTAAATTTTAGATGTGATCTGATTATGATTGTATTAATTAAGTGCTTTAATCTTTCAG